GGCATCTGTAATAAAGCTTTCAAACACAAGCACCACCTGATCGAGCACACGCGACTACACTCCGGAGAGAAGCCCTACCAGTGTGACAAGTGCGGGAAACGCTTCTCTCACTCGGGCTCTTATTCTCAGCACATGAACCACAGATACTCCTACTGCAAGAGAGACACTCACGAGCTGCCAGAGCAGATCAGCACCTCCACTCCTCCCTCTCAGCTCGACTCGGACGAGAGAGAGAGCGACGGAGAGGAGGAAGAGGATTTATCCGCTCTGGACATGAGCGATATCAGAGTGGTGCGAGTGGGAGAGGATTACGAGGATGATGAGGAGAGCGGCGGAGAGGAAGAGCAGGACCGAGGACATGAGGAGCAAGAGACAGAGGAAGGAGGAATGGTGATGGAAGTGGAGCTCGGAGATACTGACACTTTGGAGGAGGAAACCGTGGAAGCGGAGGATGCTATGGAGACGGAGGAATCAAAGGAGGAGGACACAGTTCTCACAAATAATGAAGAAAACACAGAGATGGCAACCGAGGACTGAAGGATGAATGCTCTTTTTACAGTCACTCACGTGGGACTAATGAAGGAGGTGATGAGCTCTTCATCGTAAACTTACAGTCATCGGTTGCAATGTAAACGGTGTCTCAGCTCTTTACTGTGTATAAAACCCAGGTGTGCCTGATTTACAAAACAATTTTCCTTGTTTAAAAAAAAAAAAAAAAAAAAGGAGAAACAGAAACTCTAACTCAACTAGACTTCGTAGGACTTCAAAGTTTCAGTTGTTTGGCTTTGTTCTGTTACTGAACCGCCCCTGGTATCTAGATTTATCAGTGTTCACGTGTTCTTGTTGCTCTGTACAGTCAGATTTCTATACCTTTATATTTGCCAATGAAGTATTTAAAAGTTTTGAGAAACAAAACTAAATTCTGCACTGCAGGTATAACTGGTTTACTTACGGGGGTGATTCTCATGAAAACAGTCAAGAAGGGTCATATTTCACTTGAAAAATCTAAAGAAAAAACATTAAGAAATTACATTTGGCATGAAGACAATAAAGCCTATTTTTAAGACCATCACATACATTTTTTAAAGAATACTTTAAAAACAATTGTAAATATACATTGATTTTAATTTATGCAATAAAGTTTAATTCATGCTGATTTTAATTAAAGGGGGGGGGGTGTCCAGGCAGAATGGTTTTCATTACTGGATTACGGTATTTTAATCACATTACAGTAATGAAAACTTATTAATATCCTTAATTGTCCAAATCCAATGCAAAAATGCTCATTTTTAAATTAGACTATTTTCTTAATGCAAAATATAATTTTTAACTTGATTTTTTTGGGGTGAAATATGACCTGGACATTTCTTGGTGAGATTAACCACAGATACTTAATGCCTCAAGTTTAAGATACCATTCAGTATTTTTGTCGTGTTAATCAGGCAAGCTGTTGTTAGCATTGCCTCGTTTTCCCATCTGATTGTTTGTCTGCCTTATGAAGGAAATTAAATGGCACTTCACTATTAATAGTTCATTTATAAAAAGAAGAAAATTTAAATCATTAATTATGGAAATATTCATAGGAATGCTTATTATCATTTAAAAACATTTTTTTATCGCTTTTTGATTAAATTTAAACTGAATTTAAACTGGTTATTTGTAATGAACTACTCAACTGAATAATAATTCAAATCAGATTCGAATTCGACGTTTTGTAATAAGCACTCCAAAATATTTGTCGGCAACTGTAAAAAAAAAAAAAAAAGTTTTGAAAACATACTTTTCACGATCATGACACCATATGAATGAAAACAAAAAACTTCAGGAAAAAAAGTGTCAACCTCAAAAGGCAGTTTCACCTGTTGTTTCATTCATCTTTGCGTGGCTTTATGTTGTAATGTGTCAGTCTGTGTTCATAGGAGATGCTCTGCACACCCACAGCCTTATGCAAGACCGCCAAGCTGTAAGTGCCATTCACAAACATTAACACAGTGCTCCACAGTCACACCGGACAATCTAGACAACTAAAGACACATAAAATGTCCACACTGCTCAAGGACCCAACCCAACAGATTTGACAAATGTACAGAAATATTCAAGTTTGTAACACTGCCCTCATTTGTAATCAAATGGCACACTGTCAAGCTGTTATAGCTCATGCTGGTTTTCAGTGTTTAGAAAAGCTGTTTTCTCTCTTTTAGCCCACTTTGGTATTGCCAGGAAAAAGATAATACAACATATGTAGCCCTACATATGTAGAATCATATAATAACCTAAAACAACTAGCCAAACCAAGTAATGAATCCAAACCAATTAGAAGCAGGTTAAGGATTATTTGATGAACGATGATGAAAGAAATATACTTGAAAGAAATGTATGAACCATAGGATTGTATAGGAGAGCACAACCCATAATCATCAGCAAGTGTTCTCTCTGTTATTAAGATTTCCAACGTGCACGGCCCTATAGATGAAACAAAATCTAGCATCCTGAAATCATGCAGAAGGCAAATGTAATATGACTGTGAAGTGCACAAAGAAAGCAGCACTTTGAAAGAGGCGCATAGGATTAAAAATGTTTTAGTTTTAGTAGACCTTACAGTATTATTAATTTCAATGTATTTCGAAATGTTTATTCTTTTTTGTGTTTATGCATGTGTATATTGTGTAATACCATCAGTATTATTGTCATCGAAGATTGTTTCATTTGTAGAACCTTTTTATATACGTCTTATTTTTTTGTATTGCTTTATTTATTGCGTGTGTAATACACAACACTGTAGTTTAACACAATGTATTTTAGAATTAATCTCAGTGCCACAATGGAGGTTACACCCTGATATACAGTATATAAAGCCGAACTTAACAGTATTAGTTTTATAATTTCAACTTATTTTTTAACTCTACCACAAAAAGTCAATCAGGCAAATATTTGCACCCATTGCTTCAGTTTTTCTTGAACCCTGACCCTTTTCCAACAGCTTCACTGTAATTAATAGTAAATGACCCTTAAACCTGTGATGAAGAGCATGGATTCATGTTGTTGTACTGGTGTTGAAATTGCCATTTTGGAACCAAAAGTAGTCAACTCATTTTGTCTGTTTGTTTTTATTTGTGCCAACTTTGCATTGTGTGTGTAAATGTCACATTTTCCATGAGGTGATAAGCCAGTTTGTAGGATTTTTTCTTCCTTTGTTTCCTTTTTTTGATGCCCCATAAAATAAAATGAAGTGAAGCACCAGGTCATTTCTAAATTACTTATTCATTCTCTAACAAATTTAGTGAAAGCGTGCTAATATTTAGTAATTTCCGCACGACAGTGGGTATCCAAGGTGTTTAGCGTTTCATTTAAAACTTTGACCTAAAAAATTAAAGCTTCTAATATGTAAATCTTAAAAAGCAAACAGAGTACATGTTAAGTGACACATCATCCGCTGTTTTGAGGTTTTGTATCTAAGAATCCAGCAAAACACTGGATTAGGACAAACTCTACTATTGCAAAGACTTGCAAGAAAATTTATCCATTGGAATGGAGAGGAAATAGTTTGCAATTTCCACTTAAGAGTGAAATAAGGGAATATTAGAACAAGAAATCAGCAACAAAATGCGTCAGACTAAATCCTCTTTTTCCTCATAGTGGTCAGTCTGCATCTTCATCTATAAAAATATAAACTGTCATACTGTATCAACAGCATGAAAGGAATGTTCCAGGTCCAACTATTTAGACAAGTCCCTAAAAAAAGCAAAACAAAACAGCATTTACAGTAAAAGCCTATAAGTCTGAACATTCCTTTATGACATGGCTGTGCTTTGATTAAAACCATATAATATAAAATACATAAGAGTTGGTTTGTATACCAGTAGTTAAATTATATGTGAGAAGTTTAAGAGCAACACATTAAAAACAAAACCAGTGTTATTGAGATATTTGCTGCCCCCTGGTGGAGGGGAGTAACAACACTCAATAAGGTGACCAATTTGCCTTGTCAATTTTATTTTGATCAAGACAAAGCTCTGCAACGTACAGCAGAACATTTGACGAATTACATTCAACAGCCATTTACCAAATAACCATATCTGAATTAATTCTCATTAAAACATTTTAATAAACCTGTCTGTATTAATACAATTGTGGCTCTTTTTACTCATCACACACACACACAGTATGTCCATCAGACATCTTTAGAAAGAGCGATCAAGTTTTATCCACTCACAATTTCTCCTCTCTCTCTAATACAAGATCTTTACATGTTATTTTGTCTACAGCATACTGTACTCATACATCAAATAGGCTGTAGGAGTTTTCAATGCATGACTGGGGTCTGGTCAGGAACAGTAGCGAGTCTAATATCATCATGGGGTAAAATGTGTCCTGCACACATTTAATTTCAATGTCTCTCTAAGGACCGAAGGGTACATATACACTCACACAGCCTGAAATATACTTGACATATATTTTCATAGCTCAGAAGTTTGTACATCCTTTGATATTGGATCAATAATCAGGAAATTGAGGCCAAGACTCAAACAAAAGATTGTGTATCCAAATCTTAAGAGTCTACACAAAAACTCCAGTGTTTCCCAGCAGCGGTCATCTCAGGGTTACAATCCATTCCCATAAAAATTAGTTGTTAGGATAGAATAAAACATGTCTATCATGTCAGTCAATCAGTTGATGTGTTGTTCCAAACCATATTACAGCATTACCAAGGAAAGACGTGACGCAAAATGTAGTACTTGTAATGAACGGAAATCTAAAATGAAGCCTCAGATTTCTCCCATATGCAACACGGTTTTCAGTCGGACAGAAAGCTTTCATATTTCAAGCCCTCGTTGCTCCAAATGAATCCAAAGATGGTCCAAAAATGACATAGTCCAATGAATTTTGGTATATAAAAATAATACGACATTCAGCCAAGAAAAAAATGACTATAATTTAGTCCAATAAAGATATGAGAAAGGATTTGACTTTATGTTGAACCCAGAATGCTGGGTTTTTTTTCTAATACGGGTGTTCCTCATGTAAACGTACCAAACGTTATGTTCAGTGTTCAGTCTGGCAGCCAATGGGCTGTCGGTCTTCAGCAGTAACTGTGTCCCATTGGGTTTGGTCAAAGGGTTCCTGTGCGTGTGACCTACCTGCCGAATATGGTCTCATATTCCATAAGAATGAGCTCAACGATCTGATTCTGGTAGACCATGTGCACGGCCATATTTGCCGTCTCTACCTCTGGGCGTAGGAGCGTCGGGCCGAACACGATAGCTACACTCTGCGTGGTCATCCTGTTTTCGTCGACATGCTGAATTACTCTACAGAGAGAAAGAGTGTTGTGTGCAAACACACAAGAGGATTATAATCATTTCCATTTGTTTATGTGCCGTCTACAGTAAGTTGTTCTCTCCTTCTTTTATACTCACTTCTTCAAGTGTTTGAAGAGCGCCAGTATGGTGTCGTGGTTTGGCCGTGGCAGTTGCTTCATCAGATCTTTAACTGCCTGAACTTTCTGCTTATAATCCGGCATTTCTACACAGAAACACACATGATAGTGTTATATGAGTGTGAAACATCTCCCTCTAAACACCAGTGTTAAATATTGATCTCCACTCACTGATAGTGGTGATGAAGTTGTTGAAGAAAGCGAAGGGGAATAGAGGTTCTGGCAGCTCACGGAAAAACATCTTCAGGGCTCCAGTGGTCACGTGAATGTCCTCCCATTTACTGTCCCCTAAATCCACTTTTTCATCTGTATTTATGTAGATCAAAGTGATCAAAATAATCATGTTTTTATCATACATATGAGTAATCTGTTACGTATAAATCAGTATGGGTGTAAAAGATAGCAGGACGTACCGTGATTAACAGCAAATCTCAGTTTTTGTATAATGGCCAAATTTCCACTGACTCTGTACAAACCATCCACTCCTAACCCTAGAGGAGGTGAGAAAGAGAAAAAATGACAAGCATTACAAAACATCGCAATGCATGTTAGCATGCAGTTCACAGCAGTGAGTATCAACTCATCCAGTTTACATGCACATCAATACTGTGATATTAAGCAGTAATTTTACTATCATTTGATTCATTATTATAGTTTTTTTATATTTCAAATTTGATTATTTCTATATTTAATGTTTTCACTTTCATTTTAAAATTTTAGTAATTTTGCTGCTTTTGTTTAATTTTTATTAGTTTTTTTTTTTTTTTTAATGTGTTTATATAGTTTTTAGTCATTTGTATTTGTTTGTTTATTTATTTTTATTTATTTTACTTCTTCAAATTAAACTAAAAACTGAGAAAAGTTGCCTTGGTAACTGCTGAAAAGTTTAATAATTTGTATATATTTTATTTCAGTTAATGTTTATTTAATTTTAAGTAATGAAAATGTTAATTGTTATAGTTTTAGGTAACTATGACAAACCTTTTATAAAAATTTGAAAATAATTATATTATTATTATTATTATTGACTGCACAACCTTTTCCATTTTGTGGCGATATTTTCTGGCATTTTTGAAGTATAAATATTCAAGGCCTAATTAATATTTTGAAAAAAGTAGTAATGAAACTAATAATAACTGAACATACTGTACAATCAATGACAGCACTAAATTACCCAGGAAATAACAGTGGGAAAGAAAGCAGATGTACAGGAATAGTACGATGCTTACATGGAATGTGATGTGCATGTAACCTTAGTCAGTGACATGGGTTGAAAATAGTAATTAAAGTTTTATTAAGCATAAACATTTAAAGCTGGGGTAAGAGTAAATTTAGGATTTAGATGTAGTCAATATTCAGCTGCACATGGGCTGAACAGAAGTGTACCGTTCTTCTCCACCTGCTCAATGCACATCGAGACAAAGTGAGGGACGGTGGTACTTTCTCTCTGACAAAGACTGCTCAAACTGGAGCCAAACACCTGATCTACAGAGAGAGAAACAAACAATAACAGTCTTTGAATTTTACCAATAACTCTGTGTTCACCCAGTTCTGTGTGTATATGTACACGTGGTACCTTTAATGTAACCCTTGTCTTTGACGGCCTGTAAAGTGGGTCTGCCTGTGAGGAGCTTCATCAGCTTGGTCTTCTTCTTCTGTTCTGCATTATCCATGCTTACGGATTTCTTAATATCTAAAGCATCATGTAAAGAGAAGTCTATTTAAGGAATGGTACACAACGCCAGGTGCACTGGGCTGAATGATGTGAGTGGGCTGTATTATAAATAAATCACTCACCGCTGATTGTCTCATGCATTTTTATTCTTAGAGTATTGTGTTGTTAGCTTAGCAATACACCAAAACCTGCCTAGGTTTGGAAACAATTCTACAGAATC